GTGGGAGGGGTGCGTGCGGGAGAGGGGTGCGTGTGGGGGTCTCTCACCCACAGACACCGCAGAGGGGAGGGAAGGGGCACGTCCCCCGGGAGCGGAGGGGTTTTGGGGGCTTTCCCACCGGACCGTGGCAGGGTCTGGGCCAGAGGCATGTGGGGCCGTTCTGTCACACAGCGAGTGAGTGTCCCCTGCCCAGATTTAGACTATTTAGGTACCTGGTTTTAGGCTCTCTTGCAGTCACCAGAGGGAAATGGGCACTCCTCGCTGCGTATCAACTAATTAAAACAGAGCCGCCGAGTCAAGTCCTACTGTGTTCCTTCCTCTCAGACCATGGGCCTAGTTTTTTAGCCTGGGTCAGTTGGCGTTTACACTGTAGATGCCTGCATTTAGATTAATTAAATGTGCGTGCAGAGTGGGCACATCAGGGGGAAAAAGGTGGTTGAAAAGTAGGAGGATGTGGTCCATAAAACAGGTGTGGAATGGCACTTGTAGGAGCCAGGATCAAAACGAAAGGCTGTGGTTCGTTGTGCAGCAGGTAGTGGAGCAATACGTCTCACCTGGCTTTGCGTGGGTTCAAGGAGAGTCCAGAGAAGTTCAGAAGACAAGTCTGTTGACAGCTACTACTTACTTAGAAACCAAATCTGGTTCAGTAAGTCCTTGAGATGAACCGGTGACAAGCTGGAGGATCTCCAGGCCTTCTGCTTCTGGCCACTTCTGAACACTGAGCTCAACTGATACCAAGCTTGACACGGTGCTGCTGCTTTGTAGATGCTCAGGACCAAGAGCTACCCAAACAACTAGCTAAAACGTTGAGTTACCCCAAGGTATACATACGTGGGAAAGGACGTGGAGAGCTCTCGGGGCAGCTGCCTACAGCCCAGGCAGGGGATGCCATTTGGCCCGTCATGGGTTGTTTTGTTGGAGAGTTAAAGAGCAGGAGCTGAAACTCGGCAGCCAAAAACCTCCTCCGTGGCTAGGAGAGAGGCAAGAGAGAGTGGGATGCTTCTGTATCCCACAGTGCTGACAGGAAAGGGAAAGATTTTTTTGTAAAAAATTGCCAGACATACAGCCTTCCTATTTTGTGCATCACTACTATTTTCTCTACAGAAAACACCTAAAACCTGGAAAACGCTTAAACTGGCAGAACATCTAGAACCTCAACCTGTTTCAAAGACTATTGAAATCACCCAAAGACCTGTCAATTTATTTTGAGCTGAACAGGGATATAAATAACGCTATGACATTAAATAAGACTAAGACAACCACAGAACCCTGTAAGACTACTAGACAACTATACGCAATAATTTGCTTGAGCATCAGGTATTGTATGATATTACATATCATACATGTTTTGACCCGTTAAGTTGTTGAATCGTGACTGTTTATGATGTAGACGTTGCAAGGTGGAATTTCTTTCTTGGAGCCTCAAAGTTACCTCTTAACATGCCCAACCCCTGTTGAACTTCAAGGGAGAATCAAATGCAAAAGGCTAAGGGTGTGAGCTTTGGTCCACCTTGGAAAATAATGTGCTTTTAACTGTAAAAAATGAAAATCTGTCATACAGCAGAGGTTAGGACCAAATAAATCAAATTCATATTGTACGTTTTCCACCCTAATCTTTCATGTCACAGGTTTGACTAGTTCAACAATCCCTGTTCAGATTTAACAGTGTAGAGCTCTTACTTATGTCAAAGTGTAACAAAAAAACAGGGCTACAGAACAGTCCTTTTAGGGGGATTTAAGCTGGTAAGTACACTACAGAGAAATAGGAAGATGGTCTCGTGGAAGGGAACAAAATGCAGTGGTGTGTTACAACAGAGGCGCCTGCCGAGACGAGAACAGAGGAGAAAGCTGCAGTTACGCAATAAAATGACGGAGTTTGACATTCAGCGCTTTTTCTTTAGTCAGTAAATCCGTACTGTGCTTTCTGTAAGCATCAAACTGCAGCGAGAGCTCGTTGTATGCCTGCTCGCTGCTTTCGAGCTGTCGTTGGAGCTCTCGGACCTTCAGATCATTGTCCACTGCTGCCGCCTCTTTCACAAGGCGCTTCCCTGCTCTCTGCCTGGCTTTTTCTGCAGTCTCCAGCTTCTTCCCCAGCTGCTGGATTTCCCGTTGCTTCTCTTGCAGAGCTTTGTCCCTCTCCACGGCCAGGTTCAGTAGTCGCTCTTTCTCCTCATTTGCCCTCTCCAGCTTGGCCTGCAGCTCGCTGCCCTGAGCCCTCTGCTGACTTTCTGTGCGCTCTACCTGTGCAACAATCTGTTGGTGCTTCTCCTGTAGGCGTTGCAGCTGGTTTTTTAGTGAATCGACTTCCCAGGCATAGGCACTTGCTTGCTGGCTCTGAGCTTCTAGCAGTTCCTTTTCTCGCTCCTGGGCTCTGCGACTCTCATAAGCACATTTCTCCTGTAAGGAGGCTAACTGCTGCGAGAGCTTTCTGGCCTGGGCAGCGAGCTGGAGCACTTCAGCTTCCTTCTCCCTCACAGTCTGGCTGAAGAGCATCTCGTTCTCCTGCCGCAGGAGCTTATTCTCCTCCCACAGCTGCATATGCCGTTTCCTGTGTTCATCCTTGAACTGGATCATTTTTTCATGGTTGCTGGCCAGATCCATGAAGCGCCCCTCTAAATGCTGAATCCGTTGGGTCTGGGCTTTCATTTTCACAGCATCCTCTGTCCTCAGTTTCTCCAGCTCCATGTTGAGCTGCTCCAGGCCTTTGCAGTGTTTGCGTGCATCGTCTGCATTTTTCTTCAGTATACAGATAAGGCGATGCTGTTGTTCTAGGCGTGAGTGCAGCAGAGCCTTCTCACTCTTCTCCTTTTCAGGGCTCTCACAGAGTTCCTCCAGACCTTGTGTCAGATCTTCCACGTCTCTGCCCGTCTTTGGATCACTTGTGGAGTTGGCCATCCCTGCCTCCCTCTCATCCTGAGCCATGGAGCCCCTGTCTCACACAAAGATGAGACAAAATTTTATAGCGACCGCTTCTCTTAGTGACATTCAGCGTAATTAAACAGTACCCAATGGCTACGCGGCCAACACCACTGCGATAAGCCGGTGGAGTTCCTCTGGAAGTCCAAAGAATGCAAAACCAAAGAATGTAGGCTTAGTATTTATGCAAGCCTACTCATTTGCTCGTTACTAGCTTTGCTAATTATTCCTTCTCAAAGCGCTGTTGTTGTAGCTACGAGAAGTACTATTATATTTAGGTAAAAAGCTTGTAAGTGATAAAGCTGTAAATAATTCCTTAAGCAATCCTTTTCCTCTGCCTTTATTTTCTCCTACAGATCTGGTATTATAAATGCAAGTAAAACACGGAGGGTTACATCAAACTTCTAATTGATTTATAAGATTTTAATAGTATATTGCTCATTAAAAATAACTGAATAGCCTTATCCCGTGCTTAGAGATTTATGAATAAAATAAAGCATTTATACGATGCTAATAATTACTGAATGCTCTGTGATACAAAGGCTTTGTGCCTGGAGAAATGGTTCATCATTTGAGTTTTGACACTGATTTGCTGGATTATTTTAGGCATGTAATGGCTGGTTCCTCATGTAAAAATAAGGGAAATATTTATATTACATTGGCACCAAAATAATTATTGGTACCTGATTGTACAGCATGCTACCCAGACATATGAAAAGCCAGCCTAAAACCGATCAACGAGTTTTTCATTCAGACGCAGACCTGAAACTACACAGCACATGCAACAGTGTGCTGATAATCAGGTTTTGTGAATTCCTGGGCTTTGACTGGAGGTAAAGATAGGACGTGGGAAGGAGCCAGCTTCAAGGAAGGACGGAAAATAACGTACAGCAAAACTGAATTCAAGCCCGTGAAGCACGGGCAGTTTCAGAGCTGCAGAGTGGCGGCCGTCGGTAGGGGTGTCACCTCTGTCTCCGCCTACACCCTCGTCCTGCGCTCCCCTACAGCTGTCACTACCTTGGATCCTGCCAAAACGTTTGGAAATAACGGAGGAGAGGGGGAAGGACTAACAGGTTTAGGCCATCCAGTGGAAACACAATGAAGAGCAGGGTTTAAGAGGAGAAAAATGTTTTCTTACCATGTGTTTTCTTTCCCCTGACCCTTTGTTGCCACTCGTGCTGCAGGGTTTCTGTCTCCATGGAGATCCAGTCACCCCAGAGCTCATGCCTTCAGCTGGGCTGGCTGGACCTGGGCCAGCCCCACGAGTGCTTCTTAGCAAACAAATGCTGCCGACACTCTGGAAAGCACTCAGATTTGGTAAAGGGAAGAGGATTTCTGCAAGTCTGAAGAACTCTCTCGCAGCTTGCGCCCTGCCTGTGCTGGAGGAGACTCTCTCTCAGCTTGCGCCCTGCCTGTGCTGGAGGAGATCAGAATAGCAGGCTCTGACCTTCTCAGAACATGCCGAAGGTCCGTGGTAAGTAAAGACACAGCCCTTGCCTTAAACAACTTGAAACTTTATTCAGCAGTTAATGAAAAATCTGGCAGATAGGATAGGGAAGGGGAAAAAAAAAATGCAGCTGGAAGGAAAAAGCCAGGTACAGGTTTTGCTGACTCCACTGGAAAAGGATACGAAGCAAAGAGGAGCGAGCGATGTGGGTAAAGGATATGAAGCAAGCAAGACAAGGAGGGCACAGTAGCAGATCTTTCAAAGTGGGTAAAACCAAAGTGATGCGGGTTGCCGCACCAACTAAGGTTTGCAGGCTTACTTGCAGAATGGGAGGTTTCTGAACACAGAGCATGAAAGGAGAGCTGGGACTTTGAAGCCTGGTTTATAGGACGTAAAGATGGTGTAATTTAGAACGCACACACACACGTACATATGCGTGTACCAAAAAACCCAACCCATTCTGGGCTAAAGCAAAGATGAGCTTGTAAAGTGAAGGAAAAAAAAAAAGGAGAAAAAAAAAAAAGTGTTGTGTTCCTCCCATTTGTTTCTCTGGGCAAGGATGGATATATGCAGAGACATTCCAGGAGTATGGCTGCCTTGTCATAAAGGTGAACTGGAATTAAGAATCAAAGCATAGCTATTAATCAATCAACCTGCCCTTTAGTGAGTAACTAACTACACACCTTTAAAGTTCTGGTTATGGATGACTAAAACCTTTCCTTTTGACTGTAGAGCAAAGAAACTAGTTTCTTGAAACTTTTTGTCCTAATCGGCTTCATAAACTTGCATTTCTCTATCAGCGTATCATCGATCTGGAACATACTACTGTAGTTAGGAATGAGTATGAATTTGGCAGAAAGCTGTATTTATTGTGAGAACCACTTTGAGAAGAATGTCAAAAAATACCAATAATCTTTTTAAAAAAGTATATTTTGCATGACTTCAGTTAGATATTTTCAATACAGAATTCCTGCTGGTTTACATGATTAGATGTAGCCATTACCTTCAAGCACCTTTTAATAAATCAACATACTGTCCTTTAGCAGAAGGTGGCATTGTACCATTTCTACTCTTACAATTAAATCCTACAGCATGCATAGGGTAATCGAAGTACTTTTTCCACCGATAAAGCAGCTTGGTTTGTAATCTTCCCTTCCACTGAAGTTCATCTCACCAGGACAGCTTTGCCTTTTCTTGTGTATGACAACAGTAAAACAGTAAGAAGGTGACAAGCACGGGTGCTAAAGCTCTGCTGAAAATCTTTAAGTTAAAGAGCTATAGCGTGGTGCAGACTCCATGGCAGACTAACAAGGATAACAATAACTTTAAAGTATCTAGCATTGTTAAGCACTACTATACTTTTCAAAGGCACTGCTGCGACTGCCCCTGCTGACCTCCTGTAAATTTGGAGGCACAAGGAAGACTGACTTTTCTGTGTGGTGACAGCTATCCTTATAGGTTTACCTATAATGGTCTCCATTTTCTGCACATGCTGAAAAAAAGGTATTAAAAACTGGGGAGGAGAACTGAATTTTTGTACTAAAGGGCCTGTTTTTGTTACTTGGCTCAGTTTCTCGATTCATCTAGGTAGTATGTAATACTGCTGTGTCATTAGTTAATCACACTAATTAATTACAAGTGCAGTGCACAAGTAAATCTTATGTTCACATTCAGGTAGCTTTTTGAAATTTAAACTGAGGTTTGATCTATTTAGTGTGGTGGTAAGCAGCATCTTTTGAGATAATGACAAAATGCTGTGTCTGTCTCTAGGGTGGTTCAAGAATAGCGAGACAGAAGATGTTCTACTTGACCAAGAGACAAGGAGATTGATACTGTCACAAACCAAACATTTTATTTTGCTGGCAGTCAAGTTTACCTATCAAAATTTTGTACAGGATAGAACACAGCAGATTACATGACACTTGGCTGCAAGTCTAGAGCCTCAGGACTCCATCCCTACAGCTGAAGCCCCAAAGCTATTTTGACATAGCAATGCATTTAAGCTTCACAGGAAACGCAACAGCAGCAAAAGCTTTAATGCTGTGAAATTGTAGGTCATGTTCACAGCAACCTACTTTTTCCAGGTGAAAATGAATTCATATAGGCAGTGAATACAAATAAACTAGGTGCCTCTGCTTTTCCAGAATTGCCACCCTTTCAGGAATGGCTATTTAAGAATACAGAAGCAAAGTAGCTGCTGTACCACTTAAGTACAAATACGTTGTTCTGAAGCGTCGTACGCACGGTGTTCCCTAGTCATACAAGAACCATGTTTTGTTTGTATCTGGCAACGTGGAATCTGTACCAGCTACCAGTCTCATCCAAAACACCTGAAGCAGTAAGATACCAAGACTGACAACTACTTTTGGCATTTGTAAACTCCACAGACTGCCTGGCTGATGAGAGAGAAAGTGGGCTCCCCGGCAGGTTGAATAGCACCTTTCCTTTTTTCCATTCATAGTCTACAATAAATACCAAGTAGCATTTAAATGTCTATGATTCAATTAAGCAATTGAGCTGGAGCTGTGAAGAGCCCCCTTCCACTCCCTGCTCTAACTGAGGTGCAAGATTTTACCAGCTTTTAGACCAACATAGTTGGAGCAAATAAATGTGCATTTATTTTCAGAAATATTTTGTCTGCATTTTGTTACATTGCATGCTGAATTGCTAACATAAAACATTGGGTTTTAATAAACATTTAATTCCTAGTTAGCTTTAATAGGCTGCTTTTATTAAAAAAAAAGTAATACATTGTGTATTTTATCCATTTGTCTTTCTTTAGTAGCATGCATTTCTACAAGTTACAAATTCCAGTCCTATTTCCTATGCTGCAAAGCTATCTAAACCAAGGCCACCATAATCCCAGCATTCTCCTAACGGTGGCGCTGAAGCACAGATAAATTACTTTTTGCAAAAAACAAGCTGATAGAGGTACAGACGAGTACACTTTACAGAATAAATACCCAACATATTTGTCGTCACTAGAATTGGCACGTTCAGATCCTTTAGAGTAGCATTGAATAAAAAAAAGTTTGACCTCTATGCCTTCAGCATTTAAGAGTAAGGTTTGTATACTAGCAAGACAATTAACGCATGGATAAGAAAACTTTTTATAACCCTGATTTTTGATAGTACATTGGCGTGAACAGTCCTCTGCACCTTGCAGAACAGGACATCAACAGTACCACTTCATGTAATGCTTCTTTCATTATAGAAGCGACTTTCATATCCTAGAAATGTACAACTACAGATAAAGGAACTTTCAAAAAAAAAATTCTTCATGCTCATATTCCTCGCTGGAGAGATCTGACGTGGCATAATGAGGATACAGACACATACTAATGAGCATGAACAAAATGCAACCTGTTGCTATCTTATTAATAACACTTCATGAACAATCCTAGAAGCGTACAGAGAGAGTTGACTTGCCTTTTTTTTTTTGGGTGGTAATTTAGATTATTTAAGGAATTGGCAACGCTTCAGTTAGGCAACACAAGCATCCAGGTATCACAGCTACCTCTACCACTGAATTCTGTAAGTCCCTTCTTTCTTGAAGTAATTTTCAGTGAGTAAGAAATAAAAGAATCCCTTAAATTTACATAATAATCTGCAGGCAGAAGTTTAATTTGAAATACGAAGTGACATTTGACAGCACAAAACCAGAACAGCAACAGAGCAGAGACTGTCAAAACAGCTACTGTGTTCCTCTTCCAAGTTTCACCCCCACACCTTTAATTTCATTCCCAAGGTTTCTTTTTGACACTAGCAATTAAAAAGCCACCTTATTTTGTCAATTTTGCAACCATTAGCATCCTGAGAGGCAGTGTATCTTCGATCCATGTGTTCGGCGAGTTCATCATCTTCTCCCAAAGGGCAGTTTCATCTGAAGTAGAATCCATCCAGTCTACTGTAGTTCCATAGCTTTTGCCTAGAAAAATGTCAGTTTTAAGAGAAACGTTGCTGAATGTGCTGCAGAGTTGACAGCAGACAATCAAGTTTGCCTGTCTTCTAAAACGGTTTCACCTCCTCGGGTAGCTGACCTAATACTTTGAAGATCCAGTTCTACATTTTTACACTTGAACAATTCTGTCAAATACAATTAACGACAGTTTCACACAGAAACCTTGTCATCTTTCTCCAGGCTTTTTTTCCTTGTAATCCTTAGTCTTTTTGTCACAATCCCAAGGAGAAAGATGTATGGGCGATTATCATCTGAGAGGGTTTAAGAATAAAACAGGACACTGATTTTGTGCTGAAATACAACCTTGGGTACGAATTCAAACTGAGATTTACTATCTTAATTTGTATTTTAGGTTATTCTGGTGAACCATGCAAGAAGTTAATTTGGGAAAAGTAATTTTTTCTCGTATTTGCTTGAAAAGACTCCAAACACATCCTCACCTCAGACCAGAGAGGACAGTGAAAATACAATTCTTCTATCTGCGCATCTTATATTACCCTTATGCTAAAAACTTGTTTGCTTTTATAAGTTTTCCTATCCAATGTCTTCAAATCTTATCATGCATTCCCGATCTAACCTTTTATCTCCACCCAATACTGTCTTTACATCACATACAAGCTTATGCATGCAAAAACTAGGTAAGACATTAAGATTTTGGGTGCAGGAATAGCATATTCTTGTACTTCAAACAGTACCAGATACAATGTATGGCCAGACAAAGGTTTATTTCTAATATTTCTCCTTACCTGGCAGTCATCCTAACCCTCATAACGCTACTAGTGTTTACATTTCAGGACCTGTGCTGAAGAATAGGTAAGTTACTGAATGAAACTCTTCAGTAAATAAATAACTGAAAGGCTGTTAGGTGATCTTTGCAAAAAGAGAAGAAATGGAAAGGAAGAGGAAAAAAGGAAAAACTGTGTTTTGTAAGTTAAGGATTACTGTGTTGGTTGTCCAGTACCTGTTCCAAGGCCTATCCTGAGACCTCCCAGAAAGTGGTTGGCTAGTTTGTTGTGATCCCAGACTGTGAGTTCTATGCAGGCTTCTTTCAAATCTTCTGGTCTAAAGCCATCATAGACCATGGTGTGGTTGAATACTGGGTTTGTAGTTTTTGCCACTGTTCTTGTTTTCTGGCGACTTTTTCTGCTAGTGTCTGGAAGAATGGTACTTCAGAAAGAAAAAGCATTGTCAGTTTGCACTTGCACAGCATAGCCTGCATTAAACATACCGAACAGACAAAAACTACTGATTCACGCTGTCCTTTGCATGTTAGAATGTGCCTGAAGGTAAGACGCTTTAGCATCATGGAGATGAAGTGAAAGGTCATATTCTCAGTCCCTTCCAAGAAATACTGGCAGCATGTATCCAGCCTTGTGCTTCAGAGGATGGAAGGGAAGGGGGAGTCAGGTGGGGAAGAGCACAAGTGAGTTTATTTGCTGTATTATCAACTAATGATGCTGAAACCTTTTTGTTGCTGCCAGAGATTTCCCAACCATCTTGTTATTCTTGTCTCTTTACATTTCCAGTCTGTATGTAGAAAGGAAGGAGGAAGAAATACAACTATGCTTCTCATTTCTGTCTCCTCCCATGATTTGCTAAGCTAAACCATACTCTTGCACAAACAAGCTTTGTTTAAATGCAAATAAAAGCAGGCACAATTTTGACACACTAGCCCTTTCACCAAGTAACTGAGCAAACAAAATGAAAGAGGAGCGATTACGCAGGAAGTTCTCCCAGTATATTTTACTTGGTGGTATATACTTAGTATGTTGAAGTTGTAAGCCCTGCAGGACAGTTTGCATTACAGTAACGGAGAATCAGAAAGTAATTAGGTGTTTTTTAATTTGAATGTAGAAAAATGAAGATAAGATTAGAAAGCACAACAGTAGCATTATTAGGCCACCATGTCTGATGACTTCAACCACAGTTCTTACCACTTAATAAAAGAGTTGAGCCTGTTGCCTCTCAGAAGAGGAAGGTCATGGCATTCCTTCACCCAGATGTGGACCTCACCAGTAGATAGAGTCTTCTTTCCTGTAAAAATGAAAGAAAACATCTGATTAAGCCTTGTAGATCCCTTTTAAAGGTAATTTCTATGATGCAGCAGTTCCTGCCCATTTGTAGAGGTGATATTCAGCCTAGACTCTCATTATCTCACATCTTAATTCAACCTCCCTCTCTACTCTTGAAGCTGCAATCTTCATCCCATCAAAGTACTGCAAGATCACATCATGTCTGTATTCCTACAATGACTTTTCTTCTGTTACAACTAAACAAATACATGCTGCTGGTCTTCTCTTTCCAAGCCTCCTAGATAAAGAGATCAGCTTGTCTTCAGTCTATGTGATGTTAGCATTTATTGCCGCTTGTTCTTTCAGATAAGCTCCTTTGTGCTCTTAATGTATTTGATTCTTACTGACTGCCTGGCCGGCTGGATTAAAGACCTGACTTCACTGTCAGATCAGCCAGTTATCAGTTGCCAGACAAGATTAAACCAAACAGATCATACTGCTATAAATTTCTGCATTCTAAATACTTATTGCTATTTTCTACTTCTAATATTGCTTGAATTTAGTGTGTTGTCATTGTTTATTTAGCATATCACTGTTTATTTAGCATATCACAGTACCTGCCTGATGATTTATAATCTCTAAAATTATTTGTGAGAAAACAGAATTTTGTTACACATACAGACTGCATTACAAATCTAAGATTATAACAATAAGGTAATTTCTTCTGTAGTAACATTAAAAACAACAAAAGATCCTAAAGTGATCTTCAGATCCTAAAATGAATTCATGACCAGGGTGACTTAATCCTCTAGGAAAAAAAATATTTCTACTTTTATGTTAAAACAAGATGTCTGAATTGGCTGAAAAACATTAAACAGCTTTTTTTTCTAAAAAAAAAAAAAAAAAAGAGAACAAAAGCCCCAAAGGCCTGACAAGCCCAAGCAAAGAAGCAATGCATACCTCCAACAGGGTGTGGGACATACTGGAGGGCTAGTTTCATCTCCCCTCTGTTTTCTAGTTCAAGAGCCATTGTTGAAGTCTGAAATTTAAGGAAAAAACTCACAAATCTCAAATCTTGCAGTTCACGCACAGAGTTTACCATGCAAAGGTTTCCACTGGAACAAGCTTGATTTCTACATGAGGCAAGTTTTTTTCCCCTTTTTTCCTTATGCATTAGTCTTCCCTCAGTTTACAAGGCATGAGAAATTTTAGGGCATGTTTAACCACTTGACAGTGCCTCAGATATATAGCTCTTCCACTAAAGCAGAAAACAAGACCCAGGAGAGGCCAAAAGGTTTTGATGGCACATCTTTTCCACTGTTGTGCTCTTATTTAAAACTAGTACATATGCTCTTTCAATGAGGAAACTTACTCTGTGCAACAGAAAGTGTACTTTAATAAACTCATATCTGTAGGAATGTTTTGATCTAAAAACCAGCCTCAACAAGAGTTCTCTTGCAAGAAGTCACAAGAATATGTCACTTCTTCATAGAGAGTCATGGACCATCTGTAGATGGAACATGGCACCTGTTAACATTTGGTTACATTTATCTACCCAGAGCGGTTTTAAAATCAGTCAAATTAAACTAGTGCTAAAGACTACCATGACATTCCTGTTTTGTTCTACAAATTATAAAACTGGATTGAGCTAATTTTGGGATGAACTAATGAAGTAAACTCAAGGGAAAAAACAAACAAACAAAAGAAACCAGAACCTCTGGCAGTGGCTTAACTAAAAGTTTAGATATTGGCTGAAACCCATTAACAAACAAGAGGCACATAGACACGGAAGTCATCATTACATCTGATATTAAAATGTTGCTGCACTTCGTATTCTCAGTAGGTTTACTTCATACTCAGGGAACAAGTGTCTTCAGGTATCTGTTGCAGCAACATGACGTAAGTGAAAAATACCTTGAAATTCCTACTCCTTAGATTATGAGAAAGTTTTTCCTACTATAATAGCTAGTACTTACTAGACTAATAGAAAACTCAGAACTGTATGTTCCGTTCACCAGTAAAGAGGTATTTATGATTATAACCAGCACAAAAAAACACCAAACACACAAGACCAGGCCTAAATAAATGACTTGGTTTTGCACTTACACAGCGGAAAATACAAAACAGCTAACCCACCCTTAGTAACCTACCCTCGGCTTGAGTGGAAACCAGTTGATCTGCTTGTTGGATTTATCATTCCAGTCCCAAGTTCCTAAATCCAGCTCCACTTCACCAAGGAAGCTATTCCTCCCAAAGGTATCATTGTGCCAGACAGAGATATTAAGGCTTTGGTTCTTCAGGAGACCCTTCTCAATTTTATACTGCCAGGAGGAAGAAATGAGAAAAAAAGTTAAAACAAGCTGGATTTTCATCAATGATGTGTCTGAAAGCGGCAAGGTTAGAGAAAAATGTGTCCTGGTTTATACATCTGTAACTGCTCACTTCATTTCAGAACAAAACTCTCTTCATGTTTTACTTTTTATTTCAAGCATCTTGAGCTCATACTTTACTTGTGTTTGTTCGCAAGAAGTATACAACAAGCAATCAGTGTTCTCAATGCTGTATCCAGAGTACACTGCAGAGTTAACCTATGAATGGAAGGACATAGGTACTTCTATGGAGCAATCCATCTCATCCTAACATAGACGTCTTTTCTGAGAGCATCTGGACCTGTGCCTAAAAGTTAAGGTTCCTCATACTTCATGCATGCAGTATTTCATGTCTAGTAATAATTTGATGAATACCCGCAGTATTTCATTATAGACTGGATTAAGTGTTTTCTTTTTCACAGAGGTCTTCCGTTTGCCCAGCTTGTATTTCTCTGGAAGCAGGTAGGTCTTTACATACCTAAAATTTAGACAGGCTGGTTAGAAGAGCAAAACACCCCACCCTTTCCAACTTCCCCTTCCAAAATACACAAGTATTTTCTTATAAAGTAAAAGAAATCCAATTAACTAGCCATTATTTTGTTAAGCTTGTTACATTTAAGAAATGGAATATAGTGAAGTATAACAATAGTTTCCAAAGTGGAACATTAATCTCCTTCTTCCGGGGGTAATCTGTTCAAATGTCTCCTCAACACACATACAAATACAGAATATTTAACTATAGAGTATGCCTAGATATCATATTTATAGGCTCTAATCCTATTGAAAACCTATCAAAGCAGGATTTACCATCTGGAAAGTTGAATTTAAAAAAAAAAGTTTCACATTCTTAAAAGTTTCATCTTCCCATGTTAATATATATACCATTTTATAGTGGCAATTCTATGTTCAGTTCAGAGTGGAAAACCATGTAAAGCACGTTATAGCTTTTCATTTATTTATTTATTTGGTTGTTTACTCCAATCGGTTATAGTGATTGGAAAAAAAAAATCAGTTTTCATTTATACATTAAAAGAAGAACTTCCATTAGGAAAAAAAATTACTCTGTTTATACTTACGGGTCTGAACGCTGTCGCTTAACATCTGCCACTGCCAAGTCTTTACATTGGCAAATAAAAATGTGGAGCTCGTTCAGCTGTTCTACATAGTCAATAGTAAACTGAATGCTCCCCTTCACATCAACATTGCCAAAGTCTGCACTGTAGATGCTCATTAGACTTCCGCTTACCTGTATCATACAAGAAGAGAAAAATTTTCCAGGCACTGCATTTCACCAGATACTTCAAGAGTAGGGTAGAAGTTATGCTCAGAATTCAGACAGTGAAGAAAACAACGGTGTCCCCTTTAGATGTAATAACGAAGTGTAATGGACACTGTTACACAAGCTTCTCAGCAAGCAGATTAACAAAAGAAAGTTATTTGTAAATCAACGGTGTTAGGCCAAGTTTTCTACAAGAAACTTGGATGTGTTTATTGCATTGAGATAGAAGAAATAAAGTGATAGGATGCTGTAGATCTGGAGGTTGCCTGTGATCAGATCCTTGAAATATTACTTATGTATCTCTTCAGCTGATCTTCCTTGCAGAACGCAGAGCCTGAGTTTAGGACAACAGGCCTTCTGAAAATACCGACAAAAAGGTTAGTGATAAAGTCTGTGGCTGAATTAGATGCCTAAACAAAACATACTTGAAAATTAGACCCTACACAGGTAGAAAGAGAAGGATGTACAATTTTTTTTTTTAAATCTCAACATCCTTCCCCAAAATTCTCCTTTTTCCAATAAAGTCTGCATAAGTTAATGACTTTTGGTTAGTTAGTTCACTGACTTAATTATGCACCCCACATACCAATACTGTCTTTCTTTCACTTATTTCTCCCCCACCCCCGCTTCTCCTTTTCTAAATGTTTGCTCTATATAAATTGATCCCTACTTTCAGCTACAAATGTGAGCTCTCAGGGTAAAAGCCATCTCTTTGTTCAGTGTTTATAGAGTATGCTGCACAATGGAGTCCTGAACAGGCTCCAATATATTACTAGAAAACAAGAAAAGCAAAACCAATTTTTTTTTTTTTTTTTTTTTTTTTTTTTTTTTTTTTTTTTTTTTTTTTTTTTTTTTTTTTTTTTTTTTTTTTTTTTTTTTAGGCAATTCCATGCAAGGGTTCACATAACAGAGAGGAACGGAAGGAGGCAGAGATGCCAAGGGAAGAAAGATAAGAGGAGTAAGAAGGGAGACGAAAGAATACTGAAGAGATTAGCAAAAGCAAAGTGCCATTAAAACAAGGTTTTGGTTTACATACAGAGGATAAGGAGGCCATGCCAGAAGAGCTGCTAAGATTGGTTAGAGAGCTGGGACTCTTCTTGATTCTGCCAAGGGAATAACTGCTTTCTGATGCTGTATCTGTCTCTCTGTCATCACTCTACAAAAACATCACAGAAAGAAAGTCTGTGTAGGTTCTTTATAGTCACAAGGAACATTAAAAAAAAAAACCAAACAGAATTTTAATGCAGATTGGGACTCAGTGAAAACCTGAATTTAAATCCCCTTGTAGTGCCAACATGAGTAATTAATAGTTCTTAAATTAGGCCATGCATTTAAAAAAGAGCTGAAAGGGAATTTTTCTGACGGAAAGCCTACACTGAAAGTTTTTTAAAACCTGGTTGTATTACTGCTTTTTGTTTGGTTTTAAATCTCAAATAGCAATGAAAAAGTACAAAGTTAACTTTATTGGAACAATTAAACTCAACTTCTCTACTTAACTGTCTCATGCATAAACTTATGCAAGTGATAATGCTCAGGTCTTTTACCAGTCCCTTTCTGTTATATAGCAGATACCATCAATTCTGTAGCCTCTATCTTTAAGGCAGTTAGCTGGCAGGTAACAGGCACAGTAGAACAGCACTGGATACAGCTGGCTTTTGCAAAAAGCCTTTCTTGCAAGAGGGCAAGCAGGGCCCTGCTTTTGCATCAGGGAACTGCAGTTTTGGTTTACTTGGTCATTATCAGGTTACATGCTTACAACCCCATTCTGTCTCTGTGCTATCACTGTAATTGATGCTTTACTTCCCACGTGTGCTTTGGCATCTTCCTATGCAAGCTGTTACAGAAACCATCATCTCCCTGTTGTATTCCATCCATGAACGATTTACAAGGCTTCCCCCCTCCTTTATACAGTTTTGAACTGCTGTCATAGATCTACTAACAGATGCAAGATTAGTAAACAACAATTTCTACACACATTAAGAAAATGAGTATTTATAGAAACAAATATCTAGCGTATAAACATTTTCAGTAGGTCTTTATAAAGATCCGTTGATTGTAGCTTCTCTGGCTGTATCTATACTGCTAAGTAAAAGCAGGCCAGGATTGTTCCCCAGTTCAGAGGCCAAAGCTAAGGCCCGACTAATGTCCATCCTACCTAGGGCAAGGCTCCTTGGGAGAAAAATTGTTTTGGAGAGAGCTCTTTAGGACTGTCCAAAATAAATCCAGGGAGCGAAGTAACAGTTAAGCGGTGTGAATAAATCAGTCCCGTTACATGGGCTTTTTGAAAGACAGGAAAATCCTAAGCCCTCTTGTAGAGGAAGGCTATATGGTTTGCCTAAGACCATTTTAGCTGCTGTCCACACAGCGGGTCAGCAGAAGAAATGCAGGACTGAACCCAGTTCTGCTTACTTTCAACCCTGTCCTTAATTTACTGAGCAAAGCCTGCTCTCTGGAGAGGAACAGTCAAAGCTGCTCTTGTGGAGGTTTGTGGAACGTCTAGAACTTCAGAGACAAGGAATTATTAAGCACTGGAGTGGGTGACTGCATGCCTCCAGAATGCATTACATATGTGATTTTTTTTTTTTTTTTAAGTTAATTCAAAAGGTTAAATAAGGACATTGTTGCTATTCACAAGTAGAGAACCCTTAATTTTTTAGGCTGTTATCTCTTTTAAGCAGAAGGAAAAGACACTGGTACTCTAAGGGATAGATTTCTTTGTATTTCTTCTTTAATTAGGAAGTATGCTATTATCAGAATTCATTATTTTAAAAATAATTCCAGAACTGAAGTAGCACATACAAATGAGTGTTAATAATACCGTGACTACATGGTGTCTACAATGCTTATTTCTAACCTGTTATTTCTACCAAATTTATGTTATGCATTCATTAGTTTTGTGCTTCGTATTGGCCAGATGGTACTTCAGTGATGATAAACTCCAAGGCAGAACCAGCACATGGTATACATACATGCTATTTTTATAGATATACACTCTATTTTTTTATATATATATATACATGCACACATATATATGTGTGTGTGCACGTGTATGTATTTTAAGACATCCTGCACTGTGAGCTTGACAACTCAAGACAGGGTTGGGACTAATCACAATTTTAAAGATAAATTTGGGGGGCAGAATAAACAGATTTGGCTGCTGACAATTCCTTAGAATATCAATATGAACCATCCCCAAACCCTTTCTACCATGACCAGATTGATTATATATAGTCCTTTGGCTTTCGAGTTATTCATCAGACTGTTTCATTCAAAACCCATTGAGTAAGCTTTTTAATTGGCTTCTTACAGAGGCTGTAACTGGTTGTTTTTAGATGCCAGATACTCATTTCAGACTTGTTTGGTATCCCACCTCTAATACTTTGAAATGCTCATCTTTTGGTCCATCCACAGTACAATGTTAATAGCCTTAGAAAAGTTTCCTGTGCATTCTTCTCAGCAGAAGGGGCATTAGGATGGTGTAATTTTAGAGAATCTTTAACTAAAGAGGTGTAATTCATAGACACTGTATGTTTTTAAGTTCTGCACTTAAGGTAAGATTAATCAAACCTGTAACAACACATTTTGGTTATTTCAGACTTTAGGAGGGAGTAGGGTAAGACAGGGCACAGTATATTCCTGATTCTGACCCTTCAGTCCTTTTAGACATGTTTTTAAAAAAAGAATCCAAAATATCGATGCTTATGCTGCAGTTACAGTGATAAGGGCTGGGGTAAGCAGCGATTCCTCATTTTGTAGTACAGACACAGGTATATTTGTGGTATCTATGCCCCAAATTCCTGTGTCCCATTTAAGCCTGTGTCCACTAATCCACATGCCTCATTGACAGGACTCAGGTGTTTGTACCACCATTTGGGAGACCTGGAAGACAGCATCAGTAACTTTGATTTGCTAACAGCTTGGGCGAGGGGGAGGTTTGCACACACATTTGCCATACAAATTCACATTCATACTATGGCACTCAAGGGAAAAAAAAAAAGAAAAAAGAAAAAAGAAGAATCTATGGTATTGTCCAAGTTCAATAATGACGAGGTATTTCCTATTCCTCAGAGCTTCCTGTTCCCTGTGACCCATGGAACTACCTCATTTAGGCATTTATAGTAGGACATCTGTGCTTGGTCTCCACTCCTCTCTTTACTGACTGTTTGGGAAGTCATAGCCCAGGCAGTTCAAACCACTTTCAAACTTCGGTGTCATTTTAGGAGATTTGAATATGGCCTCAGAGCTTATTCGAAGGCCCACACCATGATGATGATGATGATGATGATGATGATGATGATGATGATAATAATAATAGACTTACAGAGGCACAGTATGTTACTGTAAATTCTGAAATTTCACTTACACAGAGTTAACAGCCTGGTGCCTGGTACCTGAACCTACATCCCTAAGCAGAACACCAAGCTAATAGCCCTCTGAGAAAGGTTACCAGATGGTGAATTTCTTATGGTCTTACACGCCCATTTGAGATTTTAGGCTCTGAAGAAAATAAATGTATGCACATATGTGTGTTCTGAAGAAAAAAAAAAAAAAAGCCCTGTTAGCTTAAGGATAGAGATTGCCTTTGGGAATAACAGCAAGCGTTCGCTATGCTTCAATCTCCTAGATAAAACATGCTCTGTATGTTTAGCTGTACATACTGGACTAAAGCTTTTGAAAGGTTAATCAGCCACAGGTCGTTTAGGATCAGCTCCTGCTTGTTACACCACAAGCTCAACTCCATGCCACGGTCCAATAGTAAACTGACTTGGCAGACCCTGGAAAGCACTATTTGACAAATGCATAATGCCACAGTAATCAAAAGTTTTAGTCACAATATTTCAGAGATGGAACTTACCTCTTCCTGTAGGAATGATGGTACTGACTTGCTCAGTCCTTTGAGTTTTTCAGGATTGGAAAACAGCTTATTAGGCTTTGAAGGCACTGTGGAAACTGAAGAGCAGCAATTCAAAACGTTTCAAGAAGTTTGCACATCAAAGCAGTGCGATTTCGTAACGGGACACAGTTAGAAACAAACAACTTCAGATGAAATACATGCACATGCACAACCAGTTTACAACTCGGATGCAAGACTCCCCCCACCCTGGACTCGGAGAAGCTATCATTAGCTGTCATCGTTTGACATCTCATATAACACTGACCAAAGAACTTTGGTAGGAGCAGAAATGTTCACATTGCTTGACGTGATGTACAAGCCTGAGTGCTGCAAGCAAATTCTCATCAAATGTGATGAAGAAAAACATTTTCAGTTTACCTTCTAGATTTTCTTCCTAGAACAAGGATAAGTGCACTCATGCACTAACCACACCATCATTGACATTAGAGTCATCATGAGGTTCTTGGTAAGAAGTTAATGTACAAGCCAAACTCTGTTCTTTTATTTACTCAGACTAATGGCAATAGGAACATTTGTGTAAACCAAGCAATTTTTAGGCCTGAACTCGGAAGTTTCAAGTATTCCTAGTGAATTATAAGATGCATATTTCATTAATGATGCAGGGTTTTTTGCAGACCATCTCTTCAACTTTTGTATACCTCTACTGAACTTCACTTCCATGTTCTTTCACTGTACAAAGCTTAATTGCACAAACTAGCCTTGCAAAAATCCAGTTTGCAGTAAGCCCACGATTCTCAGATTTTTCCATGCTCTAACACCACTTATATTTAATAATGCACTAAAGCTCTATGTCTTTGGACTGGATACATATTGTGAAATGCACCAATACTGAATATCATATGACAGAGAATTATTTAGCAACAAACAGCCAGCTACAGGGGCATGTATCTATTGCATAAAACGAAACACTGCACACATGATGGGATTGTTTGCAAGGCGCGAGTTAGGCTTTTCCAAAGCTTTTGCTGTTGAAGCTCAAATAGTGCTCAACGTATCAGTTATTGTCAGTATGTAGTTAGATGCAGTTTTCCCATTGAGCAAGTATCCAGTCCAGATGTATAACTTGTTAGTTGTTAAATAAAAAAGGATTTTTAATGTATTAGTTTAAATATCGGTGGAGAAGTCTCTCCATTGTCTGCTGGAAGAATCCTATTACTCACTTCCTGCTGCATTTTCATTCCTCTCTTGATGCTGATCAGGTTTCAGACCTGCTCAGTGCAGTATTGACAACAGTCATTCAGTAGCACAAACAGCTTTGCAATGTTATAAACAACATCAATATATTTCACATGTGGGGAGTTTTTGACTTCCCCAGACCCCATATGTTTCTATGTTTTGCGTTGCTGTCCTCCTTTGAGGAGCTGGATCATAACAAAAGCAACATGATCATAACAAAAGTAACATGAGTGTACAAGTTAAGCAAAGCAAAAATATGAATAGTATTTTCAAGAGAACTTGCCTTATTCTGTACAGCTGTCTGTACAGCTATCAATTTAGCTGAGACTGTCGTTTTTTCAAAACTTCACTCTTAAATTTAACTCAAAACCCCTACATGTCTACACATTCCATATTGAATATATAACATGCTTTCAGTACAGGGTCTCCATTTGAAAGCAAAACATAGTACGCTACTTAAGTCTTGTTAACTTACTGGACATTGTATGCACCCTATTATGTTACGGTCAACCTGTTATACTATAGGCCACTAACATGCAGAACGCTTTAAAGCATCTAAAACATGACAATAAATGCAACTGTGCACAACTGGTTTTTTAATGCAGTAAATAAAGATTTGTGTGTTATATTCCACCATATTCAGTGTTATTTGATGGTTTTCTATTGTGTTCATCTTCACATGTTCTTGGATCAGGTTTGCTTTTATTTTGCTTAGATTTGGAATTTCTAAAGGCATACAGAAAAATTTAACAGTAAGGCATCTGTAATGCACTAATGGATTGATGATATCAACAGCAGCTGACCTAGCGGTTCATCTATTGCTTAGAGTAATTCTACTTTGCTGGACTGAGACAGGGATTATGAGAGGTTCCTTTGCAACTGATGTCTTCTAAAGGGTGTTTTGCATGAGCAAAAGTAATCTTACATCTTATAATGCAACAGATGAACAAACAAATTCAATGTCTACTTCGGCCAAGTCTTTCAACTGAGCTAATGCTCAAAGCTCTCAATTATTTCAGTAACTGTTTCATAGGCTGAGTGACCAAAGGCTAAAATAATACACTGGTAGGTGGTGCAGAGTTTCTACAGATATAGCAGGATATAACATAAGTATATTCCTTAAGAAAAAAACAACACAACAAAATTCTGCAAAAGCATTTAAGTCATGCTGAAGTTAATCAAATCTAAAAGTGCAACACAATTCTTGGTTTCAAAACTCCTTCACTAGCAAACAAGAGGCCATTAAAAAAACAGTAAACTTCCATGCAGACACAAAAGATATTTACCATCTTCAGCACTAAGAGCTAATTCTTCCTTTGGATTATTTATTTTTCCTTTATCTGTGCAGGAAAAAAGTAACACGTAGTTAGAAATTTTGCTGTTCAGTTCGATAAAATGGATGGCAGTGGTAATCACAGAATTAAGAGTAATGAGGACAAAAAACCCAAACAAACCAGCGGAGCCGTGGGAATGGTTAAATTCAAGAGATGCTTTCTACTTCACACACTGCTTCAAGCCTACATCCAAGCAGCAGTCTCATGTTGACTCAGTTTCTATCAGTGTGCTGTTGCAACAATGTTAGTGCATACCTAAAACCTAGAAACTAGTTAGAAGCAAGCAATAGCATAAGTAGTATTAGAAGAGTAATTTGCCAACAATAGCCAACATCTTTCAAAATCTACACCTCCACACTTCAGTTTACAAATGTAAGTTCAGCTTATGTCTTCCCCATTAGACATGGGATAAGCATGAAAACACTCAGGGGCAGGTTGAAGGAAGACAGGAATAATAATTTAAAAAAAAAAATCCTGGGAGGCTACTGAGGGAAGTCAGGAGTGAATTTTAAGTACAGTCTTGTCTCACTGTATTCTCTTAAAGTGAGTTTGGTATGTTAACTGCTAGAATACACAGGTGAAACACTACTAAACTAAGATGATTTTTTCGTACTTCCACCGTCTACTAATTTGACCCAAGCAAGCAGCCAGGGGACAATGGCAGTTATTGCTCATTACCAATTTGGGTAGTTGCCAATACTTTCACTATTGAAAATCTATCCAAGAAACAGTTCATCACTGATTAACACAGTGCATTTTTGATAGATGTCTGCTTCATAGACCAGTGTTGTTTCAAAATTAACACAAAGCACTGAAAACTAAACCGTATGAGAAAAGAATTCAGCTCTGCAGTACAAGCTCCATACGGCTTATTGAGAAACAAAGACAAAAACTACTACTTGGCAAAGCTGTATGGAAGACCAGCATGAACATGTTTAAGCCAAACTAGGGGTCATGGGAGACACACACAAGCTTTGTGCTCACTTGAGGTGGCTGATGGAATGTCCTCTAGACTTTTGGAAGGCATTTTCCTATCTGCACTCCTTTTCAAAGCCATCAAAACAGGGTTTAATTCTTCTTCTGAACCTGTTATGAGACAAAACACATGAACACTGCACACGCAGACATGCCATTTTAAGCAAGTCACTAAAAAAATCAACCATGGATTTCTCATGAGAATCTATTTTGACTGTTAGCAAAGACAGTGAACATTCAATGAAAATACAAAATAAATCCAAAATAAACAAAATAAATGTCTAATTTTGTGTCCATTCACTCTCTCTAAATTCTCTCAGCCATCAGTAGAGAGAGACAGGTTGGTTGATTTGCCCTGTGTAGGTATTTCTCTCTGTACCGACTAATAAGGGGGTTTGGGGCAATTATGGCACTTAATTGTCTATAAGAACAATATAGGATAAACTCAGACTTTAGCCATTTTGTAACCATCTTGTTATGAATCAGCACAAAAAATTTAATAGCTTTAGTTTTTCCCTCTGTGTAAATTTGTCCATTATATTTACTCCACATAGAAAGTAATTTTGTTTCAATACTTGAGTAACAACCACAAAAAAACCTAGCTGTGGAGATATTTGGATCCCTGAAATTATGCAGTTGTCTTCAAGGGCAGAATCAAGACAGACCTCGCTCCTTCAGAAACCTTTAAGACCCTCTCTCCTCTCCCTACCTCGCTTTCTTCCCCATCAGGCAACCAACCAGGCCTTACACTTCATTTATATGGCCACTTTCTAGTGCAACAGGCAGCAATACTAAATGAAATAGCACAGAGTATTGGTATTGTCTTTATATCCAGCCATTCCACTGATAAGTATTTACCTTTGAAGACTAGCTGGTCAAACTAAAGAATGAACTCAGTCAGCCACTGCTATTTTTTTTTTCCTCTTTTAATCCAGTATATTTAAAAGAAATACCAGATTTTGAGTGTTACAATGTTATTAATTTGAAGACGATGTCACAGGGAGGAAGAAAAGGGTAAATCATGAAGACTGATGTGATTGATTCATGCTGCTAAACTCCCCTTACTAAAAAGGCTTACCCAAATGTAGCACGTGTTTGTCAAACACTTTCCAATTAAAGGACTTAATTACTTCTTCCCATCCTTCCCAAATATCCAAAGCATTCAATTAAGAAATAAGTATCACAGACTTTCGGTTAACATATTACAAGTCGGCTACAAGAAAAAATTGTAGCCATGTTTAACAACCCAGCACCATGAATTTTAGAAATCAATCGGCTCACGAGTTGAACTTCCGGTTCCAGAGTGGGAATCAGAGTTTTCATCTGAAAATTTGGATCCCAAATTTGAGCTGTTCCCTTCTTCATCATTATCCTCATGCTGAGGCATTAGGCAGAGCTGAGCTCCTTCTGGCTGGGGGGAGTTGCTCTCATCTTTAAGTGGCGTGCTTGCTCTTCCGAATTTTGACAGTGCTTTAGATTCTGAATTCTTTTCAGAGGCATCCAAGGATGTGCTTTCGTCTCTCCTTCCTTTTTCGTTTATCTTGAATGGCTTGATTGCAATCATATTGGTGTCTCTTTCTAAGGGAGGAGAATCAACTGGAGCCATATTTCTCTCTTCTATTTTATTAATAGCTCCATTTCTTTTAGGAAGATCAGAAGCTTCAATTTCACTTACTGCAAGATCATTTACTGAAGCTTTGATATTTTGTTCTGGAGCTCCCCCTTTCATAGCTATCTTCATCTGTGTATGATAGCTACTTAAAGCATTATGTGGCTGTGACATTGTCATGAATAGAGTCTCTTTTTGTGATGGAAACATATGATCCCCAAACTTTCCTTGTTTATGTAACTCTTTGGATATTGGACATGAAACTTCAGATGCTTCTTGAAGAAGTTTTTCTAAAGAGCAACTGAATTCACTGAATTTTGCAATATTTGAAACAGAAGTTTTTTCTATTGTTTCTTGTATTTCTTGAGGATGATCTCTCTCTCGTTGATGTGAAGCATTCATACTTTGACTAGTCTGTATTTTACCTTGCATTTTCTTATCCATATTTTCCAGCACAGAAGCTGGTGTTTCAGACACCTCTTTCAGTAGCTTCTGCAAATTAACATCAAATACTCCATATTCAGCCTTGGACAGTGCAGATCTTTCTATGGTCTCACTGATTTCCTGCGGCAACTCTCCATCATGCTCATAGGTCGTGCTTTTAACTTCCACGTCAGCAGTCCCCCATACTGTGCGGTCGGCACGTTTTGGTTTAGGAGGTGGTGTTTCAGAGGCCTCCTTCAGCAGCTTCTCTAAAGCAGAACTCAAGCCACTGACCTTGGATGGGGCAACAGACTTTTCTATGGTCTCACTGATTTCCTGCGGCAACTCTCCATCATGCTCATAGGTCGTGCTTTTAACTTCCACGTCAGCAGTCCCCCATACTGTGCGGTCGGCACGTTTTGGTTTAGGAGGTGGTGTTTCAGAGGCCTCCTTCAGCAGCTTCTCTAAAGCAGAACTCAAGCCACCGACCTTGGATGGGGCAACAGACTTTTCTATGGTCTCACTGATTTCCTGCGGCAACTCTCCATCATGCTCATAGGTCGTGCTTTTAACTTCCACGTCAGCAGTCCCCCATACTGTGCGGTCGGCACGTTTTGGTTTAGGAGGTGGTGTTTCAGAGGCCTCCTTCAGCAGCTTCTCTAAAGCAGAACTCAAGCCACCGTCCTTGGATGGGGCAACAGACTTTTCTATGGTCTCACTGATTTCCTGCGGCAACTCTCCATCATGCTCATAGGTCGTGCTTTTAACTTCCACGTCAGCAGTCCCCCATACTGTGCGGTCGGCACGTTTTGGTTTAGGAGGTGGTGTTTCAGAGGCCTCCTTCAGCAGCTTCTCTAAAGCAGAACTCAAGCCACTGACCTTGGATGGGGCAACAGATTTTTCTGTGGTCTCATTGACCTCTTCAGGCTGACCTGTATCTTCTTGGCATGTTGATTCTACACTACAATTAGTTAGTGATATACTATTCATATCATTGGATGTTTTCATTCCCACCCTTCTATATTCAGAAGGTTGAAATGCAAAGGTTTCTCTGAGCAGGTTCTGCAAACCAGCTTGAGCCTTATGAGAACCCTCAAGAGTATCATCCTTGTCTGCTGCCTGATGTCGTAGACAGAAAGGTTCAAATTCCCTAAACAGTTTCCTGAGGCTTTTTTTGTTTTCATGCTCATCTGTGGATGGCACATTCACTTTTCCTGTGCTTTTGCCAATTTCTTCTTTTTGATCAGCAGGAGAAATGTCATGGCTCTGTTCTACTGTTTTTTCAAAGACCTTGCACTGATTTGAGTGAAAAGTTGTCCCTTTCAAAATCTTTTCTTTCAGGTTCAAGCTAGATGACATCTCAGAGGCTTCCTTTTCTAACCTCTTTAGGCCTAATTTAAATACATTAAGCTCAGCTTCCTCTTTAAAAAGATTGATACTTAATGGAGTAGTCTTGTTCTCCACTTTTTCTATAGGTAAACATAGCCAGTCATCTACTGCTGTATCCTTTAAAGCATCTTTATCACCAGGTGATTGGAGCAACTGCAAGGAAGCATGATGTTCTTTTGATGAAACATCACTTTTTTCTACACGTTCTTTAGCTTCTTGCTCTGGAAGACTCATCTTTCCCTGGAGTTTTGAGATAACTGGTTTTCTGTCCAGCTGGACAGAGTCTGTATTTTTTGTGTGTGTCACATTCAGACCTTTCAGGGTAGGAGATCCTAGAGGGAGTTCACATGCCACAGAACCTAGTTTCTGTGGTTTTTCTCTCTCAGATGTTTGGGTTTGTTGTTGAATTAACTCTTGCTTGCTCACATTATTTCTGCCTTTATCTTCCTCTGATTTTCTTTGATAGGTTATTGAACTACCATTATTTCTCAAAAAAACATGCCCCCTATCAATGCTACTCTGTAATTTAACTCTGTTATCCCAGAATTTTCTCAAACTCTGGAATTGTAAAGGATCTGAATTTTGATTCTTGGACTTTTCATTCATTTTTTCTTTTAAAGACAAAACCTGGAAGCTGGGCTTCTGTTGGGAACAAGCAGCAACTTCTCCTTTAAGTGTTTCTTTCTCATCTTTGTCTTTGCTTTCTGGGGAAGCTGAAGTGGCACCAACACTTGGCTGCAAGTTACTGGCTTTTGGCGATTCTGTATAGTCATGAACTTCACCATCAGATGGAAGTGTTCTTTCTGGCTTTTCAACTGCATGGCCCAGTCCAAACTCTTTTGAGTTTTGATATTCATTTCTTGAAGCCTGGCTTGTACAACTTAGTTCAGCACTTCTTAACATATTCTTGCTGTGATCATCCAATCCATTAGGTGGGTATACCACAGTTGGTTTTATTTTATCACTTTCTCTGAGACCTTTCAATGCACTGCCACCTGATGCATCAGTATTGATACTAACTTCTTTCTCTCCACGACTGGGGATAGTTTTATCCCTTTCCCAGAATACTCTGATCTTCCTTATTTTTCTTTTTTCTTGTATTGCCTTCTCCGATTCACATTTCTGAGCTGGTAGCTTGTGTTCTTGATGTTCCAAGAGATTTGATTTTTGATTTTGTTGCTTGATTTCTTGACCACGTTCTTTTTCTTCAACTCTTGTACAGTCAAATTCAGTTAGCAATTTGTCATTTTGCTCTTCATTCTTTTCCCCTTTCTTAGGTTTCATCCTCTCTTTTAACAGCTGTGTATCTTTTGAAATAAATGATGTAGGTGAAATACTGTTCCGTTGTTTAATCTTTCTAAACGGTAACTCTTCTCTAATTTCCGTTTTTCCATCCATGCTAGGCCCACTGTGTTCTGCAGGAAGAACTGCTGTTCTGGTTGAGATGTCCACTTCCTCTTTGGGTTCCCTGCCTTGGGAACTAGCTGATACACGTTTCCTATCTTCAGAACCAGAACTTCTTTTAAACCAATCTAAAACTTTTGATACAGATTCATCGGCCACTTTCATGAGTTCATCAGCATGTTTGTCAGGCTTGAAAGTGGTTTTAGCATCTCGCTCCTCAACAGGATCAGGCTTACCTTGTTGAAGACTTGCAGAATTGGTATTTGACACCTCATGTGCTTCTGTCTTAGCAGAAAGCTGATGTGCGTCTACGATGTAAACAAACTTATCAGAGTTAGGAATCAGACACAGGACTCTACAAATGTTCAATCTATTTTGAAAAAACTCTCAAGTTTTTTGGGGGGGGGTTGTTTGGTTTTTTTAAACTGTTAGCAGAGAAGAGAGTTCTCTGTCCTTCTGTTTTTGGAGAGAACCATACTGCAGGCAATAGAGTGAAAAATAAACTCCTGCACTGAGATATCCTACTGGAAGATTAATCATATTACTCTTGAGGGTGCGAGCAGGTAAGATTGGTTATCTCCATTCTAAAGGAAATGGCTACATCGAAGGGGGGGCTGGGCAGGGGCGGGGCACAACCCAGCATATTTGTGTTTAGTCCCATGAGCAAATCCCCAAGTCACAATTGGATTAGTATCAAGGACAGTTGACAGCAGTACACCAAAAATTCTTCTGTTCCCATGCAAACAAACAGATCTACCAGGCCTTATGGCAGGAATTTAATCCAAATGCCATCACTTCACCTTCATCATCCTCAATAAAGGTGCCTATCCAGGCTCTGATCTGATTGTTAATTCTTAAGAATACCCAATAGAATATAATCTAAAAAAATATTGGCTACATTAAAGCATTAAAATACAAAAAAAAGTGATTTAGAATTTAATTCTGCAGTACGTAGCACATTCCTACTATTTCCATTTCCTAGTTGTTAATTCTTAGATACAAGTGATTTATTCATTAATGAATACGTGCTATATGCTATTGCATTCTGTTCTTCACTTGTATTAGTCTCTTACCGGTAGAGTTTTTGTGTGACACTGATTCATGGCTCAAGAACTGGTTGGCTTTATATTCACGTGTCTCATCAACACTCGGTTCATTATTGCTATTTGGCAGGATATTGCTGGAGGTCTTCTGTGGAGTTTCAAGTTTCTTAGGAGTAACTGTCTTTGTCTGCAAGGCTTCATTAACCAGGAAGACTGACCTCTTAGTGTCACAAGGACCGGATGCCGATGTATCATCTTGTAAGCCATCTATTGTTTTTACTTGTAAAGCTGATGAATAGGTTCCCAAAGGCTTTACAGCAGAAATTTGCTTATTCCCAAATGAATCTGATCTAATAGCATCATTTCCACTACTCTTTATTTCATCAGATTCTAACAAATCAAACTCTCCTTTTTCTCTACCATGGTGTAGCTGTGGGCTTTGCAGAGGTTCTCCTCTACCTGTGCTAGATGAGAACCTCACTTGTTTTAGTTTTTCCAGTGAAATTTGTGTGGAGTCTTCCACTTCTTCCATAAGAGAGTTCTTCTCAGCTTCTCCTTCAAAAATAGTTGCAGTAGGAAGAGCATTCTTTTTCTGAACATCTAACATCTGACTAACACGAACTTCTGAGTCAGTGGAACTTGAACTTGAACTGCGCTTCAGAATGCCCCTGGGTGGTATACCAATGCCATTCATCCTCTCAGTCCGTTTGGCTGGTTTTGGAACAAAGTCTTCTCTTTGCAACACAGGATCTGTTGCTTTGTGAATTAATTTTCTAGCTTTTGGGACAGGACGTTTAACTAGTCCCTTCTGCGATTCATCAGTAGGTTCTACAGAAGGCTTCTTATGTTTCTCTGTTTCATCATTTTGTAAGTTTGGTTTAGACTGGCTCTCTTCTGAGAGTGACAGAAGTTCTGTAAGACACATATAGAGAAGAAATCATGAGTTTACATAATATTCATCTGCATAAACAGAGGGGTATGACAGTGCAGATCTAGAATGCAGTGATTATATTGGTTTATTAAAAACACCTGCAGTAAAACACAGGAGGAAATTCAACATAGGTGTTGATTTCATTTGTATGTAACAGGAAGTTTTAACAGATTAAAATCCTGCAGTTGTTTCTTATTCTAGAAATAGTTACTATTTGATGATTCCAAAGATAGAGAGCACACCAAATTTTTGCTCAGTGTCATTCCTGCAAGGGACAAACTTTGCAGGAAAGGACAGCTTTTGAATATGCTTACACCTTTTCAGGTTCAGAACATAAGCAGCAACCTATGGAAGTGGAAACAGGCTATTCCCACATTCATATGGAACAAGGTAAAATGCAGAAGTGATCCCCCAGTAGGGAGATGAAATTTTTTTTATTCCTAATGTCCAAGTCTTCCTTTTTCCTGTTGGTAAGCTTCATAACAGACAAGAGAGTAATTTCCACATATGAGCCTGTAAATTACAACTTCAAATGCCTGTATTGTGATATATCACCACTCATCTACTTGCTTGCAGAGAATACTGCAGGAAAGGGAGTATTCGAAAATAAATAGGACTGAGAAAACAAAGGAAAAAAATAAAGATCAAAGAGTTCAGCTTCTTCTGTTGAGCCAATAGCAACAATGACTGGAAGGTCATAAAGACAGCTATGCCAAATTCAAGGAAATTTCTCTGTTCTCTTAACAGCAATTCAGGACAAACAGCCCTCTCAGATGAAGTGCTTAATACTGACTAGAACTGTGAGTGAAAGAAAGGAAGCAAAACCCTTTTACTCATGTAAACAGCCATTTCCTGAGTATATTCACATTTTACATGGGGTTTGAAATGAACTAGTTGATAACTCCAAGTAGTTAAGATAAAACAGGTTTTGATATCTTACAAAAAGAAGCAATGAAAGTAAAAATAATTTCCACATAAACCATCAAGAAATTCACAGTCATGTGCTAAATAAGTATATTTACCCTTCTTTGATAGCTGAGGTAGAGTGGCTGGTCTGTTTTCTGATTCCCCACTGTTCACGTTATCACCTGATGCAGTGGAATTAAATGGATTTCTCCTTTGCTAAAAAGAGGAATTAACATTATAATCGCAGTCAAACTGTTCTATCAGTACAGTCTTGACAAAATAAATGAAAGTGCAGTGATTTCTTCTGTCTCACTACTCTGTCAGCAAAGAATCTGAAAGCATGCCTCTTAAATTGGATACATGACAAAAAAACTAAACAATATGAACCAGGGAACTATCAGAAGTGCTAGTGATAGCCTCATCCTGTTCTTTCTGAAGTCACAAACAACAGAGATAAGCCACCACTTAGACACTTGAAAATCCCAAATTGTTGCAAGTTAAATAATTTTATCTCTACTTCTGTGACTTTAGAGATATTGGAACACAGCAAGACAATTCTTTTCAGTGGCTGAAGAGATTGGAAACAATGTCAAGCACAGACAGCCACTGATTATAGCTGTAACAGCACTTTAGCACTGAACTTATAGTGTTTTCCATTATCTCGCTCCAAACCAAAAAACACTCATTTTTTCCCAACTTTTCTTTCTTCCTCAAATCTTTAATTATCTTTATCACTGAAGCAAAGAAACACACAAAATGTAAAAGATAGCTTCTGCTATATTTAATACCAATCATACCTTTACTGGTGAGATTGCTGCCTTCATAGGTCTTTCCTCTGGTTTGTCTAACACAGAGGTTATTGTTTTAGAGCTGCAAAGAAAAAGCATGTAACAACTTCAGCAAACAGGACATTACTTTAAGCCTTTTTCAAGAAGTAAATCAGAGATTTGTTTATACATACTCAAATATAACCTCTTGGCACCTAAAGTTTTCTATTTGGCCTGTTCTCATCAGATTTAGAAGCAAACCTTCTCCTTTCCATAGCAAGGGGATATTCTCACTGCTTTGTTTCCTTGCAAAAATTTCTTTGCTTGTTTAAGAATTCAATACAACTTCTACTTGGCATGACATAAACCATATTTTTTACATCTTTTAGATTTTTGAGCAAGCTTTATGTAAATATAGCCACTCTCCAAACAATATCAGTGTTGCTGTCTCCATCCTTGTCCTACATTTATATTTCTAGAGCTGAAATCGAAGAGGAGGAAAGTGCCAAACTCTGATAAAAATGGAGTTTTGCAAAGTGTCCAAGTCAGAAAAATCAGAGGAACCTCATCACCACTATAGCAAAGATGCGACATGCCGCAGACGAAAACACATCCCCTCAGAGGTACAGCTTATAAGCTATTCTTTGAATTAAGATCTATAAAATCTGTAGTTTGATAGCATAAGTGAAGTAAGTTATTACCTGTCATCCTGACTAAGTATAGCCCAAATAAGGAGAAATTAAAACAGCTAGAAGAGACAGCTCCTACATTATATCAATAAATATTTCATCTATTTGCAGAATCATGCAAGGGTTTTTTTTCCAAAACAATCAGATTTTTATAATTTGAGTTTATCTAAAAATCTCAGATATGAAAAAGCATTTGTTTTCTGAAGATGGAAGTTAGATGTGGATTGAAATACGGTCTTCATATAACAACCACATTCAGTATCTTAACTTTATATAGGAAACGCTGGCATTAACCAACTTACATGCTTATGATTTTGGGGATGGGGAAAACAGTACAAGGCAGGGAAAATGAATATTCTCCAGGTAGGAAATATGATCTCAGGCTAGGCAGGAAAGCAACTCCTACAGTTTTTTCCAATATAGATGTACAAGGAGATTCCGATACTAAATATTTCTTTGGTCAACGATCTTTGGCATGGGTGAAAAGGCTTTTAGATATTGATTGGTAAGTAGCAGAGCCATGAGACAATGCTTTTGAGGGCAGATGTGGTATCTGAGGACAAGAAAACAGCTCCCAGCTGCCATCAAGTTCCAGGTTCAAACAGGAGCTGCCTCCTCACATGGACAAAGATCTCTCCAATCAGGTAGCTGGCAACAGTCTGCCCTGCTGAGGAGAGAACAACTTTCCCATCTTCTCCAGGGTGCAGTACAGTTAACCTTGAAGTTTAGAAAAGCCTTGAAAGGCTGCGTGCCTCTGGACTGCTAAGTGTGTATGAGAAATGACATCACTCCCATTTTACAAATGGAAAAACATCGTTATGAAGAAGATGAGATGACACCGTAATGAGCAGCCTGAACATAAAGCTAGGAAAAAAATACCAGTTGTAATCTGAGCTATAAACTTCTGTATCTCTTCCTTGCTCTTTTGGTTCAACACTACCTTTAAGAAATATACCACCATGCACAGTGATACAAACCTAAGGTATGAGCTGATCTTGTAATGGAAACTATCTCATGGGTGAAAAAAATAAACTGTTCTTATATTTCAACACTAACTGCAGCAGCCTCTTATATGTATACACCAGGTATAACAGATTATTATTGTTCTTTTTATTTTTCTCTGATCCTAAATAAGAAAAAAAATTTCTAGTTCTCAAAGAGCTCAATATTGCAACTTTTAATTTATTTTCAAAAAACATCATTCCACATTACAGTTTTTAACCTTAGTTCTAATACTTTCTTTTTTTAAAGTCTGAAAATAAATATATTTATAGAAACTTTGTTCTGCTGAACTGGAGTTTGTGCTCTTGCTTTTATATTTATAAGCACTTGAGTTTGTGTTTTTGTTTTTATGAGCACTTGTGTGCTCCTGCACTTTGTGTCTCATCTACAACATTTACTACCCAACAGGACAAACATGTTTGGTTTTGTTTTTTTGTTTTTTTTTTTTTTTTTTAAGGTCTAGGTCATTAATGCTTCAACCCTTCCCTCATTTTAAACAAGGAAAATACTGTTATGTACCCTGGGCTGCAAGAAACCGATAAGACATTCTTCAGTCTGCAGTTTTTACAGGTGAGGAGATAACTAAGTCTCATTGAACACACACACAGTCCCACAATATTTTAGTGCAATGCTACTTCAGACTTACTATAGAGTAATTAAAGAGTTGTTAATTTGGCATTACATACTGAAAACCCTGCTCTAAAGAAAACAAAGTAGAGAAAAAACCACACCCAGGACCCTATAACTAAGTTTCACGACAAAGGGTCTGAAAATATGAGTTTACCTTCAACCTATACAGATGGGAAAACTAAACAAACAGTTCCCAGATATGCTGCATTCACAAGGTTAATCTAAGAGAGAGTGTATGAAGCCAAGCTGATAAATACACCCAGATTAAAAAATTCCTGCACTGCAATTCAGCAAAACAAAGTACTGAGAACCACAGCAAAGGCCCAAACTCCACACAGACTGGACAGAAACCAAGAGGCAGCAGGGCCAAGGCAGGAGCAAAGCTGGAGAAGGGGGTTATAGATTTGCAGGTGTTGTCAATACAGTCTATTCAGAAATGGGCCTCCATTCAAACAAATAAGCTTTCCTGGGCTCATCCTGAAGGGTGAAGAATCTGGTGCAAGTAAAGCTAGTGCAACCTAACAGTACCCCACAAAAATGTCCTTATCTAGGTATCCCAGCACCCCTATTATTCCAGAAGAGTTAGACGGATTTTAAGAATTAGGGCTTTTGTCCAAATTTTCACCTTACAGAACTCTAGGACCCACACTTGTCAGCTGTTCAGTGTAAGCTGAGAATATTTTCTAGCCTAGGGAAGAAAACAACCTACAAACCTAACTTGAAAGATAAAGCCCGTTTAATATTGCCCTTTTTTGAGATTCAGCATATAGACAGAAGGTGTCACTGAACAGAGGTAATATTGACAGTTTGACTCACCCTATGAAAACTCATTCTGTGCAAGGTTACACCTTCAAAGACACTTCACACACCTGGCCTGTAAAGGTTCCAGTATGCAAGAAAAGTACCACAGTGATATTATGCCCAAGAAAAAAATCGTTCATAGCTTCATTACTGAATTTAGATACTTGGGGTGTGGGGATGAAGATCATTAGCTAATTTTAAGAATATAGTTGTGGGCTGATTTCTGTTCCACCTAATATAGCAGCACCCCGACTCAACAGCAGTTGAACTGGCCCCAGGGCTGGATTTGACTCTCAGCAGTTTACAAACAGATCTGCCAGAACTGAACTTTCTTCACGTTCAGTAAGAATTGCTTTGGTTTAAGAATAGGATCCAGAACAAAAAAAAGTCTGGGTAATTTGTTATCACATACCTTCTGGTCCCAATCCTCAGGTTAGCAGTTGTTCAGTTTATGCAAAGCCTGCAAGCCAGTGCTGGCCTGAAGCCCACTCTTAGAGGAAGAAGAGGAAAAAAACCCCACAAAACCCTAAACCCCACAACTCCCATAGACCTACCCTTAAAGTAGCACTTTAAAACGTTTTAAAAGTCCAAGTGCTTGAACCACGTGTAGCATTTGGACACCAGAAGTTGTGAACTCACTTTATGCAGTCCCAAGCTCCAGAATGATACTGTTTCATCCTCTTAGTTCTAGCCATGTTGAGACTATTGCATTGCAAGAGGAAGAGTCAATTAATTCCTTGTGGCTCTGCTATCCTAACAGTCAAATTAATGTTTGTCATGTCTAGGCTTTCCCTTCCCACCCCAACTGGTGGGGTTATTGCTTTCCCAGCATTGTTTCCCCTCAATTCATGATCAGCTGCTACCATCAGAGACAGGCCCACAGCATGTCGGACCAGTTTCTTTCAAAGTCCAGTATCAAGAGAACAGAAAGGAGTATTTTAAAAACATATGGTGCCTCCTGCAATTTCCCACATGCAATGTTGTGTTGACTAATCTCAATCGTAGTGAAATAAGCCCATACTGAAATCATAAGCAATTAATTGCACATAGCCCTGCCATGTTTCCTTGCTTCAGCTTTTGACATTTCAGAAGCAAATAATGAGACATCTAATCAAGTATTTATGCAAAAGTAAATGCAAGTAAGCATCCAGCCCACATATTATAGATCACTTCCTAAGGTTCACCTCCAACTGTCTCATAAATCCTGGACTGTGTGAGCTTGCTTTAGAGGGAAGATCTTGAGCTATTGGTGAGAGTATGAGCACACATGAACAAGGCATACAGGCTGATTAATTTCTGGCACAATTTGGAGCAAAGGGCAGGAGAGGGTCCTGGACAATAATTATCAAGCTTCACATGGCTGTGACCTGAAGTAAGTCATCAAATCACCTCAAGTTAAAGACCACTATCAAGTTGGTCATATTCCAAACAATTGTTTACATGTTCTTAAACCTCATTATGTTATATATTTTTGAAGAGGCTGCCCTGGCAGTCTATGAGATGTATTACTCTCTACCAATCACACACAATTTGTGGAGCTGTAATGGTAAGAATAACATTATAAGGCTGTACTTCGTTTAAAGTATCATCACCTTTTCCTGATGTGCAAGATGACATGCAAAATATTCTAAAAAATATACTAGACAGCAGCATGTCTTGTGCTGTCCATAAAGAAATAACTCCATAACAATCTCCTGAAGGTAAAAGCCACCTGTAAAAAACTACATTCAGTAACAACTAACTCTGTCAGCATTATCAGCCAACTTGGGTGGGGGGAGCTAAGCTCTTTCTTGTGATAAGCAACTTTATCATCCTTACTGTACAACTTCATTTTTTGGGAAGTCTATAACAAAGCAGTTTATCTGACCTTTTTCAGCACAATTTCAGATGTGGGTAAGACAAATACCTCTGAGTTCATTGATAATGATATGTAAAGGATAAGAAAGACCAGTAATGCAAGCCAGAGTTGTTAAGACTCACACCAACCTTTGGTGCCATTCATCGTGAACGTGCGCGCCCAGTTTGCAGACCACGAAAGTGAAAGATTCAACTGCTACTAGATACTGTACAAATGCATAGTAGGAGACAAGCCTTGCTGCAAAGAAAAAACAGATGACGTACAGAGAAGGACTTAAAAGACAGACAAGAAAGTGAAAGGTTATAGAGCTGATCAATGGCAGAACCAGCAGTAAAACAGTCATCCTAAGAAGTAACTCTGGCTCTTACCTCACTCTGTTCACTGAAAGCACAAACAATAGCTATCGCTGTTACACCCTCATTCTTGTTTCCTCAATGGTGTTGAGGAATCTGGCCATTTAAAGACATTTCATTTCTACCTGTTGTCACCCTAGCTAAGAGATCAGCACTTTCTTTTTCAAATGCAGGCTTTTAGAAAGCTTTTCACACAGCCAATGAATACATGTAGGTATTTTAAAGAGAAGACATGTCTGTGTCTTGGAAATCAACTCAGGATATTTCAGAGCGAAATGGAGCTGTTTATGATGCTTACAGGCTTGAGATAGAGGATTTTTTTATGAAATCACTCTGTAGTTCAGACACTACTACTCATCCAGCTTTCCTGCAACAACTGTAGCCATTCAGGCATATCCAAGCTGACTGTCTTGCCTTACTCTGAATGGAAGCCTCTCCCTTCCAGAAAGACATTTATTTTTCTTGGTAGAATCTGACTTATTTTCTGCAAGTATCCAAAGATTCTGGTTCTTTCCACCTGAAATACGTTTGGTCTCCTTAAAAAGTCTCAGAGGTCTTAAACTGTGCACCCAAAAATCTGGAAAATTCTAAAGTGCAATTTCTCAGTCTCTGATTCTTCATATGATCCAAGCTTAAAATTCAGGCTGAATCAATAGTCTGGTCTCATTAAGTGACTGAATGAAGAGAGGCAGAGGTTATTGTCCCCCTATTACTAACTGCAGAGGACTGATCATGGCCAGCCATTCTAAACAGAAAATCCTGGTCTCACTTCTGGGAGCCAGACTAAGTTGTGGCATGAGAACATGTGTGAGACCATTCTATACACCATTGACAACTTTTTCCCTGAAGAGGTAAGCCGAAGATTGTTCTGCATTTGAATGCAGAACAATTAACAATGCATGACTGATTTGTCAACCTTTCACATGCACCAATTCCTTGGGCAATTCTGAGGAGACTTTTGATCATCTTTGAAGGAAGAGGCAAGTACAATATTTCGGATGGAACTTACAGCTCACAGGTTTCACCAGTCCCAATATATACACATACTAAGTGTGATTAAACAGACAGCTTACCTTGAACTAGATTTCAGTTGTTGTTCTTCTTCTTGATGTTCCACAATGCCATATAGTTCTGGTGGCACAAAGACTTCTTTATTAACATTGCTTACCCAGCTGTTCTTTGCTTTGTTTGATTTGTTCTGACTCACTTCAGCTAAAACATGAAACAAGAATATTGTTGTCTCCCATATGTTCATACAGGATTTCTTAAGAAGCAAATACAAGTATTTGCATTCAGTCCTACAGCTATTTCAGAAGTCCTCTATGCTTGAATTATGTACAGAAGCAGATCTGGTGCCTTCTAAAGAATAATTGTTTTTAATGCTACTAGAAATGTCACATACTGCTCTGAGTACTTCACTCCACTACTCTAGGTACATCTGCTTTAGACCTTAAAGTGATCCTAAATGGAGTTCTCTACAACAACCCCAGTAAAGACTGATCCTGCAGTTCTTGCAGCTAGGTAAACATCAAAAATTCAACCTCAGTGTCCTGAGGAAACAAAAACAATTAAACCATAGGAAACTGCAAATATGTTGAAGTTCAGTTAATCAAGTCAATTATTCCCTTCTTACAGCAGTAAACTAGAAGTTGGTCATAACTCATTTAAGCAGCTGGCTAATCCTTTATGGATAGAATTACCACAAGAAGTTAAGAAGGTAAGTATAAAAAACCCCAAACAAACAAAAAGCCCAACCTCATTCAGCAAATGCAAATACATTTGCATTTCTTTCTGGGGTGGGACAGAATCCTATTCCGATAACCCCTTTCAGAGTCAAAACATTAGTTTACATTATTTCCTCTACTGCTTTTCGCACTTCTCCAACAGTTTAGAAATGAAGAATTTCTTAGTGTGCAAAAATAAGCAAGATTTTTGTTCTCACTTTTACTATCCATAACTGCAAGCAAAAAATATCTTGACATCTAATGAGTCATTAAAACCAAGCAATTGCACATAGTTCTGAATGTACCAGTATGCCCCTTTGTTCAAGTAATAAGATTGAGAGTAATTAACCTTCCTTTAAGGTAATATGGCTTTAAGTACTTTCCTTTAAGCTATAAGTTACTGTAAAATTTAGCTAGAATTTTACAGCTGATTTTCATAACCTTCAAGTCCAAAACCAGCCAAAACCACAAACATGTTGCACTAACCACCTGTGATTTTTTGCATTCTTTTCTGTTTCAGGCCTTTTCTTGTTAACTTAAAAAACCAAGACGATCACGTAGTAATCTCAAACTGACTAAACTGCCATTATCCAAACTCATCTCTGGAAATATAGGAATTGAGAAGGTGTAACATTGCAGGATTAGACACAGGAAAACAAGGCTAAATTGTAGCTACAAAACCTATAGAAAGTAGCAAGCTGTAGTCCATCCACAGTATTGGAGAGAAGTACCTTACTTGTTTCACTAGTACATAGCAAAATCCCTTAATAGAACTTCAAAAAAAATAAAGATTGCAAAGTTCAGTACAATCTGGTAAGAATAATAAGACTCTTAGCCTTCTAAGTCAAAAGTAGAACTAGAGGAGGTTAAGAGGGGATGGGGGATATAGGGGATGGGGGCGATAGGACATAGTGAATGTTGAAGAGGCATGGCTTTAAAGAACTTCTTGAACAAATTAATGGGGGGAAAAAAAATAATCCAGAAATATTGCCTCTATTTCAAAAAAGTCTGAGGTGCAATTGGCCGCAGGCTGGTCCTGGCGTTGGAGCCTACACATGCTGCCGGGCACTCTCAGAGGCAGGGTGCTGGGGAGACAAGCTTTTGGTCTGGTCCAGTAGAGCAGCTCTTATGTTCTACTCTTTTGTTTTGTTTCTCTCCAAACAAAACACTGTGTTTACTTCTGATGTTAAACACAATGCATTATCTTCCCACATTCTGATTTTTTTTTTTAAATAAGAGTTTCAGAATATAATATTTGTTATAAAGTGAGCATCAAGCTTGTCAACGTTACTCAATTTACACACAATATACTACTACCTATCTGTACTACTAAATTAATGTCTGCAACTGTTATCTGGCACATGAACACAGTTGGCTTTAACAAACATTTCTAATAGATCATTTGAGGGTACCCACCATGATGTGGGGAATGGTGGGTGCATTTAAAGGTAATGTGGACACAGGATGCCAGTTCTAGCTGCCAGAGCTCCCAGCATATATATTTCAGTAGTTATAACCACTAGCCCAGTGCCTACCATTTCAAATCAACTTGAAGTACCTTTGGTCTCCTTAAAAATAAAAATATAAATTAAGCCTCAGAGGCCTCAAACTGAGTACCCAAAAGCTTGGAAATCCACATTAAAGAGCGGTTTCCTCAACTTCTGATTCTTTGTACATTCCAGGGTAGCTCACAGGGCCTCAAAAACAGAAATGGGAATGTAGTCCATGAGTGCAGAGGGCTTTTAGTCCTACACATGAACACAAGCCAGTCCCTCCTGTTAGCAGTCATCACACAGAATCCTGTCTTTAATACATAGCACTGGGGGAGAGGAAAGTTTACACTGTAAACTACATGGGAAATCTCTCTTTTGCATCATTTTCTGCTTGTAGAGATACCGATATTATTCTTGTATTTCACAGACAACTGTGCCTGAGGTTAGGTAAGTAAAAGTCAGTCTTTCCAAAATAAAGTATAAACAAAATGCTTACCAAGAGTGGCAGGCTTCCGTCGCATGGAAGCTCTAATAATATCTGCTCCATGTATCTTATCTCTGTGCCTCTTTGACTTTGCTTCATAAAACCACTGCCCACTCATATTCTTTAGCTGAACATCATCTTTGACTTTTTCTGGTAAATGCCTGGGGAGGAGAAAAAAAAAAAAATGAATAAATGATATACACACACAATCTACTTACCTGTGTGAACAGAATAAAAGTCAGATTTTTTTGGTTTGGGTGTGGGTGTGTGTGTGTATGTTGTGTTTTGTAGGTTTGGGGGTTTTTTAAACACTGTCTCAGCACACTATTTCCGTCTTCTGACCTGTTACTCTCCTCATTTAATTATGAAGGATGACAATGAGCTGGAGAGGGAAGAGCCTCAGCCCTGTTACCCTCAGAGCATCAGTTGAAGTCACTCTTAAAACAAAACAAAAGCAACATGCTTTGCTATGATAAACTCTCAAGCAGAGACAGCCCTGGAAAAGTCTCCAGTAACTGCAGATCTTGACTTCTTGCCTCCAAAGGCCAGATTTCCAAGGTTAACACTGAGATAAGCTAGCATGGCAGCATAAGAAATCTGTGCCAAACTTAAGTCCATGGCTGTTTTGGGGCTCAGAAGATGCCTTTTCAGGCTGTTCATATGGCACTACTTTTACACACGCATTCCAAAAGTGCACGGTAAAGATGGTGCCATTTTTTCCACAGGTCACACAAAAATCCTTATATGAATACAATGAGTTACAAAGGAAGACAGCATCATATGGAAGAAACAACAAAATAAGTTTGTGCAGTTTATTAATCTGCATGTATCCATCACATGAACTGCAGCCATTTTAAATACTGTGAAGCAATTTTTTAATAATTTGATTTCAGGCCTCAGGGTCACCCTGCTTTCATGAAGCACACTTTAACAGAATAAAGAGTTGCTGTGTGCAATTTGAGAGGTTGTTTTCTTTCCTCGTTAAGCATATAACACATTAGGCATATACTTATACATGGCCTGGAGACTAACCTGCAAACCAGGAAAGTTACTACATAGATTTAGAGAGTACTTAATTAAAAAAAAAAATTTAAGTCAAGCTTCATTGGCCTTCTCCATTTATGTCCTTTCCATCAGCAAACAAGCTAATAACAGAGCCCAAGGGAGAAATCAAAACAAATCAAGTTACTCAGAGACTTGAAGGCTAAACACAGTCCGCATTGCTGTGGGATGGTGCTATCTTCCACAGGCCTGATGGCCAATCATAGAATCATAGAATGGTTTGGGTTAGAAGGGACCTTTAAAGGTCATCTAGTCCAACCCCAAGGAGGTTCACACCAGTTTTATATTGCTCATGTGTTTAGGAGAAGGAACTTCTAGTGCAATCAAGCAGCTATGATGACAGTCCTTTTATTATAGGTTGCAGATTTGACTGTCAAGTACAGACAACCATTCACAGCAGAGAAAGGACACTGAGCCAGTCCCAACCCTCACACTAAGATAGTCCACTCTCACCTATCATTCAACCTCTCCTTCATCCTTGTACGGCCAGAAATGAAAAGGCTTATTTGAATGCATCAGCTATATTAGAATTTGAATACCTAAACTTCTTTTTGAAAGTAGTGTCAACAGTCAATCCCTCCTAGGTGTGTAAACAACTTCTCTGTCTCGAATCAGCTACGCACAGTTGAGGCTGCCAGGAGTCGAGGTCACCATTAGCATTTTTAATGCCACGATTCAACAGTCCATAGCATTACTGGGCCATTTAAATTTGGCCCTCCCTCTTGCTTATAACTCTGTGCTTCTCCATGAGCCAAAATACACACTTCTCATATGCTGCAGGTCTTCCAAGTTGGAGCAGGAACACAGCAGTAGCTTCCCTCTGTCCTCAAGCAAATACGTTACTCAGGTATGAGCCAAATCCTCATTGCTCAGCCAGTTTATGAACATAGCCAGCAGGAATAGTGGAAATATGACATGCAATAACTTTTTACACAGATGATTGCTTCTCCCTTTCACCTTCTTTCCCATGTGTTATTTGCCTTCTCAGAACAGATGCTCCTTAGGGCTAGGGACTGGCTTTTCAGCTATTAGTACAGCCTGCAGGGCAGCAGAGCTCTGACCCCAGCTAGTGCTTCAGGGCAGTATGACAACACATGCCCAGGGAGGTTCTCTAGCGGGAAGGTACTGAGTCACAGGACAAGTATTCAATGCCCTCACCCTGTTTGATTCAATCCTTTTACCCCAGAGACTGCTCACTCCTTTCCCCTTTGTATTCAACCACTGAAACTAGGGTGTGGTAGGAGACCTTTGCCAGTCAGCTCAGATCAATAAATCACTGTAGAAGTGGACAGGATCCCAGGCCTCTCAGCTGTGTCAGCCTACTTACTTGCTTGTTGGACTCTCAGATCTGCAACCGATTAACACAACATGAGCAGGACAGAGACAGAGGCACAGATTTGTCATGACTCTAGACTCTCATTAGATGTCACCCATGGCCAATGCAGCCGTCATTTTGGCTGGAAGTGACTGTCAGGCACCTCGCTCCCACCCCTGGCTTGCTGCCTATGGAAGTTAGTGTACCTTAACTCCACCAGCTCAACAGGCCTTCTAGACTTTGGGAGATATGTTAACAAAGGTATAAACATGATCTCAATTTACCCAGTACTTCCTTTACAAGTGACCCATCTGGCTGATAGGGCTTGTATGGCAAGAAGTGACAGAAGCTCACAGCAGCTGACTTACAAACTACTTCTTTTGCCTTCTCTTCTCAACTTGATAGCACTCGACCTTTGTTAGCTTGGCTTACTTGTCTCTTCAAGATAAGTGTTTAGCCTCTCAGTCCCATCTTTTGAGGAACTAAGGGCAACATAAATATTAGAGCTATTCCCAGGCACTCCCCGGCCACAAATAAAGAAGCAGATTTCTATTATCAGAAAGACAATTAGTTCTAGGTCTTGGCAGGGAAAAAAGCTTTTAAGAAGCCTGCGTTCACCAACACATCATAGACTTGTTGCAAAAACAGCCGCTGAGGTTACAAATGGGAATTTTTACAATGCTACTTGAATTCTCAAGCTCTACTACGAGCAGGCCTTAGCAGTAATATCAAACTGCTGGCACTGTGTGGGCTTGTTTCACTGCTAGGCATTAGATTTAGATTGTGGTTTACCTTGAAAGGAATTGTGGAGAAATCAGACTGCAGCCATGGTTTTCCACTGTTGCGTACACCTCAGCACACCACAACAGGATTAGAAGCCAACAGTTGATTCTGTGCCAGCTCCCCAGTCAACAGAAAGGCTAACCAAGTTGTCACCAAGAGGAAAATAACGTAATGACCAAAGAACTAGTAGGCATCCAGATTAAGATTCAGATTGCAGGCTCAGTTGCCAAGTTTGTAATTAGGAGAAAATGCAGTAACGGCTTTACATATTATGTAAGCATGTATTCTGGAGTCCCTCAGTGGTCTGTTAAAATGCCAGTTAGCCTATGTTGCAGTTTTCAGAGTGAAACAGCCTCAAGTTATAATAAAGCTAGTTCCTCTTTCTTCTGCAGGAACATTAAACTCAACAAAATGAAGGTATATTTTTAAAAGGAATTAACTCTAAAATAAGCCTGAGTTCCCCCACTACTTAATATGATTTTTCCACTATGCCTAGGTGAAACATTTTTGATGGCAAGATGACAAATTTTTCATCCCACTAGGGCATTAAGTACGTGCAGAATTACATTGAATGGGCATACAAAGCAACTGTCAGGCACTTTGCAGGCAAACAGAAAATCTACACGTATATTAATAGCTTTGTCTCTCCCCACCTCCGGAACATCTGATAGCAGGCTAAACCACATGGTACCACTGTAAGGCAGGAAATCTGCTCTGATATAATCAGTCCCTGTCAACCTTTCTATCGGCAAGTCCAGAATGGTTTATCTTATGCTTTGTAGGCTAGTGTAATAGCTCGTTGCATGTTAGGGCAAAGTGATGACTTCTGTTTCCTTTTCTGAAACAACAGTATCTAGCAACTGTTGAGCTACACTTCCTCAGTGTCTCTTAACTCCTTCCCCTATACTCACCTTATTCATAGTCCATATTACAAACCACCACAGAATTTGCAATTGACTCCTTAATCACTTCTTTTATTGCCTTATTCCTCAATCGACAGCTTAAACTGAGCTTTTCAGACAGGGGAGTCTGTGTGGTGCCAGCACATTCTGGGACTTCTTGTGACAAACTAAGAAGCTTTTAAATCAGGGTCTATGTTTGGGTCAAAGAGACAGATTCATTAGCATCTCACACCCCCTATTCTGAACATATGAAAAACACCCCAGTGACTGGTGGCAAAATAAAGGCTTTTTAAAACCTGATACCACCATCTTGCCTACAAATTCACTTACAAAACCTCCCTCCTGCAAATGAAATAGGAAGTGAGTAGAGAAGGTGGAAGGAGAGAGACTTTTGAGGAATTTATCCTCACTTCTATTTGCTGCAAGCATAACAACAAACCTCAAACCAACAAAAAGATGACAAAGGATTTAGGTTCTGGGTCACCTTCTGAATACAGACAAGATAAACATTTTGTAGTATCACTCATGCAAGAACAGGAGTAAAAAGGTATTAGACCAGGCATTATAAGTGTGAGACTTGCTGATTAGATTTTTTTTTTTTCTTTCTTTCCTTCTTTGAGAGTAGAAAACAGCCATAAAAGATTTACAAGACAAAAGGAGTTTGGCTTGTAAGGAACGTTTAAACATTCCACTTTGCATGAGACTTGCATTAGATTTTTTTTTTCTTTCTTTCCTTCTTTGAGAGTAGAAAACAGCCATAAAAGATTTACAAGACAAAAGGAGTTTGGCTTGTAAGGAACGTTTAAACATTCCACTTTGCATGAGCATGCCTCTTTAGTCTGCACAGATCTAGATAAGGTGTAGGAAAAAAGTCTGTTCTGGCATTTGTTAGAGAACTACACCCAAAACATATATAATGGGCAGTCCTGAGTTGGGAATATGGGTCATTCCTTTTGCATGGTAGCTGCACACATATGACTTTCCAAAAAAAAAAAAAAATCAGTTACCATTTGATTAGTTTAAGCAATATAATTTTAAACTGGTTGAGGGCTATACTAGGAAGAATAAAGCAAACCAATGGGGTTATGCAACCTTTCCC